ATCCTGCGTTGAGGCCCCCCGTAGTCAGAGGGTGTGACACGGACGTAGTCGCATGGACATTGGACTACATGCGACTACGTTGTGGCTACATTTCCTACCTCTGACTACTCCGTGACTATGTCTGACTACCTATGCCTACGTCCGTAGGCACAGGTTGGCTTTGGCTACCTGACACTATCGAGCTCCAATTTGCATACCCAGTTGCTCTGAAGTTAGTGCAAGTTGTTAATAATGTTTGGTTTGGTGGGAATTTCACAAATTTGGCGTGAGTGATCCGTGACGTTACCCAAAACTTTGCTTCCGCTATCGCCCCAAAGCACCATCGCTTACTCACTTGCAGATGGAAAAGAGGTTTGGGCAATGTATTAACGAAGAAATGAGCAAAAAAGTGCAAGGAAAGGTTGGACAAGCTGTGCCTACGCGGGGTGGGCAGAGGTTGGACAAAGTAGTCAGACGAGGTGTGAGGATAAAAAATTGGAATTTTAAGGACAAGGCCTAGGACACAGCTCTTCCCCACACCACTTTCTTGAAGTTTGTTCTGTGGATTGCTGACACCGTGGCAAAATATCAGCAATAAGATCAAATTTTGGGAGAATAGGACAATCCGGGGGCCTCATGACCATAGTCCACATCACCGCAATTCTTCCGCGGGGTAAGTAACAAAATTTTGAGAATGTGCCTCTTATGTAGAGCTCTAGTTTTGAGATTCAACTGGTTCAAACCGCGGCCTCGATCCCCGAATAAACTAGTTGCTGACATAAATAGTAATTGAATTGAGAAGCAACAGAGGAGAAAAAAACCCCATAGAATCTCAGCACATTCGGATGCCGGGAGGCGAACCCGGGGCTCCCGCTTCATGAGAATAGAGGAAATCTTCCGTGCACCACATCCGAGTTTCTATCCCCATTGGGCTATTTTTCAGCGGGGTACATATTATTACAGTAACATATGAGATCTTACCTCTGCTGTTGCTATGTGTTCCCTGCGAAGATGTCGAATAAAAATCCTCATGAGTCACCCCTTGTGAAGTTCAGTGTGGAAAAGTTAACTGGGTAGAAAAAGTGAGCGAAGGCACAGGCAGCAAAGAAAACGACGACACGAAAAAATCCCGACATAAAGGATAACCCCTTGGGACAATCTGAGATGGGGAAAGGATAGGACGAGTCAAACTCTTTGCTTTTCTCTTTCTAAAAAAGAGTTCCCTGAACAGTACATATTCGAACACTGGGAACAAGCCCAGGTCTCCGGCTTCATCATCTCCATAAATCCGTTATTGCGAGCGGGCATGCGCCATGCACCACGTTCGAATTATCCTCTAGCCTTGGTGGTTGAATACATAGGCAATATTTATCTGGAGATCAATTGCGAACAGCGCTGACTTGGACAAATATATCTCCGCGGATGGTCCTGAAATATGAGACAATCAGTGGAGCGTAAATGGTGAGAATCTGGAACGAGGAAATCACACATACTTTGAAAGGACCGTCGTCGACGAGTCAAACTGACTGCTAGTTTCCTCTTCTTTTTTTTATAAAAAAAATGCCGCTGGCGACAGTAGTTCAAGTGCTGGGAATCGAACCCAGGTCTCTGGCTTACTACTTACGCTTGGTTGCAATCGCTAGCGGGCGTGCACCGTGCACCACGTCAGAGTTGTCACTCACCTTAGCTGCTTGAATACATAGGTGATTCTGAGCGCTGAGCGTGAGGGTAAATTGCAATTATCAACCTTTGGTTAACCTCGCGAACAGCGCTATGGCTAACTTTCAGATCTCAGCTCAGCTGGGACACATATATCCCCGCAGTGCGTACTTCCTAGCTAGGTTGTGGCAGCGAGAATAGCAAAGAAATTAAAGCACACGTACTTTGAAAAGATGCAAAAGGTTGAACTGATTCCTAGTTTTTTCTCCAAAAAAAAAAAAAGACTCCTCACAACCTAATTCGGACGCTGGGAGTCGAACCCAGATCTCCCGCTTATTAAGTGCATATCCTGACTTATTGCGAGCGGGCGTGCACCACGCACCACGTGCGAGTTACCCTCTAGCCTTGGTGATTGAATACAGAGACAAGATTTGAGCTGCAGATCAATTAACCTCGCTGCACCGCGGCTGACACTCAGATCTCAGATCCAGCTTAATAATTTGAACTAATACTACTTCGCTCGCTCTATATCCCTTAGGTTATCTGCTCGTATGTGCTCGTAATATGCGCGCACACTTCCTCTTGCATCGACGAAACGTACACCAAAATCCTCGACGAAACGCCCCAATGTATAGCTATACAGACAACAATTTGTTGTCAAACCAAGAAGATATAATATAATGAACCAATGAATGATACAGGATACAATTGTTGAATTGTGAGGTTGGATGTGGTGGTACTAGGGGTATGTATACGTGTCCGTGGTGTAAGGTGCAATGATAGGGTGTCTGTGTACGATGTGCGGGTAGGTGTGGGTAGTGTAGATATGGCGGGAATGGATGGCGGGATTCCAACGCGACGATCCAACACAAGGACAACACAACGCGCACCTCACACACACCTCAATACGACCTACCCCGATTCAAACTCCTCCCCTTCCCGTCCCTATCCCTGCTGCCTTTCCCATCCCTGCTCCTACTCCCGCTCTTCCTCGTATCCCTGCTCTCCCTCGTACTTGTATCCCGAATCGTATACCCCCACCCCTATCAAGCCCGAACCCAAACACCCTCTTCAACAACGGCACCTCCTTCGTCGGGCTCCTCTCCGCTTGTGGTTAGTTGAACAGCGCAGGATGCATCGCGGGCGCGCCGTACCCATATCCGAGGTTCACAGGCGCAGGCGCAGCGTGGTGGCAGACATACCCTTCTGCCTCGACCCCGGCCCAGGCGCGGGGTAGGCATACGTGCTCGCCCTAACCGGCTGCGGCTGCTCAAGGGGGACCTGGAAGGAGTAACTGCGCGTCCTGACTCTGACTGACTGGCCCGGAGGTGCGGATTGCGGCATTGGCATTGGCATAGGCATGGGCATTTGAGACGGAGGCAGTGCGTACGAGGACGAGCGCGAGCGGTGGTGCTCCGCTTGCGGTTGTGGCGCGTACTGCCCGGGCGGCGCGGTGGAGTAGTACACGGCGCCTGCGGGGGGGGTAGAACCCGGCGCGCGGGCTGGGGCTGAGCGGGGTAGAACGGCGCTTGTTGTTGGGGTGGTGGTGGCGGGAAGGCAGGGAGAGGCGGTTGTTGCGTGCCGTAGACGTCTCCCCGCGGTGGTGCGGTCGGCGGGCGTGCGGGGCCACTGCGCGAGGGTTCAATGGGCACGGGGACGGACATCATGCCCGCCCCATGATGGATGGTGAAGGCGGGGAGCGATACCTTCTGCGCAGTCTCTAATCAAGCTCCTCACGGCCGGTGCTCCTAAAGCGCGTGCGGCGCTCATCGCGGCTACTTGACCGTGTGCAGCGCTGAGCGGGGCGAAGGGGTCGGCCTGGGGGTAGAGGCAGTGAATCGATGGTGTCATCCCTTCTAGGTCGTTGTGAGTCACCAGCTGGAGCGGACAGTTCTACCACCCAAGCCACTTCATCCTTGCAAATTTTGTCCAGACTCCATGCCGTGATGGTTTGGGGCCTTTGGGCCTTTTGGGGCGCCCACCGAACGTTGAAGCTTGAAGGCAGGGGCGCGTATCGATCCGGGCTTCCCAGAGTGGTCGAGGACAAGGACGAGTGGAAGGCACCATCATTGATGGGCAACTTCTTTTCGGGCGTCTCTGGCTGTTCCGAGGCCCTCCGAGTCTTCCCGGCTAGCGCGAGCATCGTTGGCTACATTTCTGAGAGTAGAAATATTCATAAGGTCAAGGAGTGCCAATTTCTGGGATGCGTTGCAAAAAGGTCGTGCCGTGCTATTCTTATTCGGATGTCGGGAGTCGAACCCGGGAATCTCGCTCCACTGTGGAACCAATCTACGAAAAGCGAGTGTGTACCATACACCACGTCCGAGGTGTTATCCCTTTTCAAAATACCAGGAAATAAGAGTGTTCCAGCGAGCTTCTTACTACTCTCGCTCCAGTTCAAAGAAGTGGTTGACTTCGAATTACAACAAGCCACAACGGGACAACGTGCTCTGAAATAAACCCGGGAATGAAATGGGACAAAAGAAGCTCCAGAAAGACTCAAGCTATTTGGACGCCGGGAATGAACCCGGTCCTCTTGCCTTAATTAGCCCAACTTTTGAAGCGAAAGCGGGGGTGCGCCGTACACAACATCCGAGTTACGGGCTTTGGCTGTGCACGAGTTTAATTTCGTACCTCTGGTGGTTTCTGCGCTGGGCGACAGGGGTGCACAGGTTGAACACGTGGAGGCTGGAGACAGTCAAAAAGCGTGAACACGAGGATTGAATCAAAATGCCCCAAGAATGCCTCACTAAACTCCTTGTACACGTACAAATCGACCATGGGTCGGTGAAAGCTCGTGAAAATCGGCATGAAATACAATTCCCGTCTTTTCTATGCGAACGAATTCGTGGTTGAACTGCGTCTGAGTGCAACGTAAGGGTCAGAAATCTGGACAGCAAAAATGAAGCACACAGCGGATTTCCAGACAAAAATAAAAAGACGCGTTGGCTGCGCATTCGGACGCCGGGGATCGAACCCGGTACTCCCGCCTTACCATGAGACACAGTGGCAAGCGAAAGCGGGAGTGCACCATACATCACATCCGAGTTCTTCTGCCTATCCCTCGATGGAATAGGTACGAGAGCTCGTAAAGCGGACTTTGTTAGGGAGATTCCGCAGCTGAGGAGACAGCCTGACATTGCGATCCAAATACAGCAGGTCGGAAGAGAAGAGAAGGACGGCGTACCTCAGCCCTGCTGTCTGAACCGTCTCTCAATCCTTGTCCGAAATTTAAATGGAATACGCCGAAACATCTGAAAAAAAAAAGAGAAATAGATCGGAGTTGGAACAAAGGCGTGCAAGGAACGGAAAAAGACAACGAACACGTAACGAAAAAAAAAAAAAAGTTTACGATTTCTGTTACCGGACGCCGGGAATCGAACCCGGTACTCCCGCTTGATGCACGGAAAGGATAATATACGGGAGGCGGGCGTGCACCCTGCACAACGTCCGAGATATTGTTCCTATATTTGAGTTGGGTAAGTACGACAGTTTTGGTAATGTACACACCGCTTTTCCTCTGTCATTTTAAGAGTTGAACTGCGACGTTGAGCTTGTTGGGTCCGTTGAGAGTGTCTACGGTTAAACCTGCGTTAAGCGTGTTGCACTACGCAGCCCATGAAGTAAGTCAAAAAAAACAGAGAACGAGGACGACAAGGGGCCGTGCATCCGCAGGGGAGGAAGAGAACGATATAGGGCAGCGCCATCGATAAAATTGCTCACTGGCTGTTGGAAACCGAAACCTAGAAGGTTCTAGGAGGCAGCAACCAGCTAACCACTCGGTATCGACGCATAGACGAACGACTACCCAAGAAACGGCGGATTGGTAACAAATCAATAGCCAATTGCAGAGCCGAAATAAAGAATTGCTTTGCTTGCCGCTTTCTGGAGTACACTTCATTTACAGTTGAATTACACTAGAGCCGACCGCAGTGCTTAGACCGGACCCCTTGCCAAGGGGGAATCGGGATTCGAATTTCCGACAGGGGGGGGGAGGGGGGTCCCGGAAGGGCCGAAAAGAACTTCTACTTATATATTAGCAGGGAGGGGAAAGAGCCTCTAAAACTCTATGAGCCTTTAGGGGCTCAAGGTTCACTGTTGGGAGCCCAAACAGAGGGCTGTGGTAAGCTGAGGAGTGTTCAGTCACGGTTCAGTTTTGTAGACCAATAGTGGGCCATATGACAACGAAAATAAGTCAAATTTAAGTAATGCATTAGTACTCACATAATAGTTGGACAGGACTGGAACAATGCCTTCAATGACGTGGAAACAAATCGTGAATTTTGTTGGGATTCTGTGGCGAATTGGGGTGGGAGGTGAGGACGCACATGACCAGAAAGAACGGACCGCCGCTAGGGGTGGGAAAATACTTCCCTTTATGGAAGGAGGGAGGAGGAGGGAGGGGTCCAAGGAAGGTTGAAAAAAAAAAATCGGCCCTATATCCTTTTTTCGAATCCCGATTCCCCCTTGTGTTTAGCCAAGATTCGGGAATCAGAATCTTGGCTCTCCAATCAGAAGTAAATGGTCCATGGAGGTGGCATCTAGCTGTCAATCAAAGTTCCCTTCCAAGTCGACTCGCTCCAAGCGCTCTCGAGTCTCCGCCGTTTAAAATTTTCAGCCACGGCGCTCCCCGAGGCCCTTTCATGTTATTTCCCGCTCAAAGGACTTGAATGGACTCTCTCCGGCAGCTGTTTTGCGGGACTACAATATAGCCACGCGGCCACCATCAATTAAAAGTCGACACCGAGCGCTGACGTTCCAAGCTTTTTCTCCGACAGCTGTTTTGCGGGCTACAATACAGCCACGCGGCCGCCATCAATCAAAAGTCAATACCGAGCGCTGACGTTCCAAGCTTTTTCAACCTGAAAAGGACACTTTCCAGGTACAAAAGCCATGCACACGGACTCTCCTAATCACCCGCCCTCCACCGAGAATCTAAGATGCGTCTCGCAGCTGTCGCCCTTGCCCTCGCTTCCTTCTCTGCGATCTCCTCCGCCGCTCCTATCGACTCCGGCCACGAGGTTCGTTTGACCTGGAACTCGGCGCGAAGTGCTAACAAATTCTGTGATGCAGGCACGGTCCGTTCTGGACAAAAGGCCGGTCGTACAGAATGACAGCCGGATAGGCGTCGAGGAGCTCATCCTAGTGAAACGGCCCGTCGTACAGAACGACAGCCGGATAGGCGTAAAGGAGCCCATCCTAGCGAAACGGCCCGTCGTACAGAACGACACCCGTATAGGCGTCAAGGAGCCCATCCTAGCGAAACGGCCCGTCGTACAGAACGACACCCGTATAGGCGTCAAGGAGCCCATCCTAGCTAAACGGCCCGTCATCCAGAACGAAAACCGGATAAGCGTCAAGGGGCCCGTTCTACAGAAGACGAAGAATTCGGACCCGTTCGTCGTGGAGAAACCGCCCGCCAGGGTGATCTCGTAAACGACTTTATATATTCTCTGTGAGGCAAATGTCTGGCATATACATATCCGCCTGAAGTTGAACGCAGGACGACGAGGTCCCGGTTCACCAAAGAGGCTCCAAATAACCAACGAAGGATCTCACTGAATATGAAGATTGTACTAGATGAAGTTGAGCTGCCAATGAAAATTTGTTTTTCGAGCGCACTCTTCGACCCGCTCTCCACGGCTGTTTAGCTCAGTACATATTGGCATGAAATCGGTTTATACTGAGCCGCCCGTCCACGCGCGTTGCAGCGCTTAATATTGAAATGGACATCCGACATGGGCCATCAATTAAAGTCGACGCCGAGCGCTGACTTGGCGCTGACTCCATTCGAGCTCATTTAGCCTGAGGAGGGCAGTTGAAAGGTAAAATGGCATGCATCAATCTCCACTGATATCGCCCTCTATCGAGCAGGATGCGTCTCACAGCTGTCGTCCTTGCCCTCGCTTCATTCTCTGCGGTCTCCGCCGTCGCCATCGAGAGCGAATACGAGGTTTGTGTAAGCTGCAACTCAACGCAAAGTGCTCACATATTATGTGATGCAGGCAAGGTCCGATCCAGAGACAGGCCCCCTCATACGCATGCTGCAGAAGAGGCCCGTCATACAGAATGACAACACGATAAACGTCGCGCCCGATCTAGCGAAACGACCTGTTATAAAGAATGGAAGGTTAACGCAGCACGACGAGACGCCGATCCTACAGAAGAGACCCATCATACAGAATCAAAATCAAGCAAAACAGCCCATTATAAAGAATGGAGGGTTAACGCAGAGGCCGGTTCTGCAGAAGCGGCCCGTCATACAGAATCAGGCTCAAGCGGAACAGCCCGTTGTAAAGAATGAAGGCTCGACGCAGCACGACGAAGCGTCGGCCCTACAGAAAAGACCCATCATAGACAATGAAGGTCGATACATGTGACGATCGTTCTACAAGGGAGGCCCGAAATAAAGAGCGGAGGAGCAGGCATAGGATCTGGCTGAACCTTCATTTGTACATGAGCACTGTACTAAACACTGTGAACTCGTGAATGTTATAAGTAACATAGGTTTATCCACGATGATGCACAATCTAGCTAAATCGTCAACAGATCAAGGGCAGAGAAGGAACTAATGCACGCCGAGTGCCGAGAAGAGTTCAATTGATGCAGTGCCTTCACCGGAAAAAAAAGCTCGCTTCCTTGAGATGAAGAACGGGGTGCAGAATTTGGACCATCAACCTCAGACTCCCAGCCATCATCTCTCTCCTTCTCAGAATAAGGGCCGTCTCAGGAGAGGGTGGATTTGAAGGAAATGCTACAGCTTGCCGTCGGATTTCGAGATGATGCAAGCGAACGAACGGGGCTCGAGGAGGATGAGCGAGTCAAGATCTCCGTTTTTCTAAGTTACAACTTTGGTCCGTCTGCGTCAGGGTTAATGAAACCAGGTGTGGACAGCGTGCAAGTTGGCGCAGGTCGATCCTTGTTGTTATGGCTGAACCATGCTGCAGCATAAGTACATGGAAGAATTTCAGCGTAACTTCCGAACACAATCCTTCTGGTACACTTGAGCCAAAGTCAGGGAAGTAATTTACATCTAGGATAGTAAAGTGACCCATCGACGATGATCGTGGGCATCAACGGAACGCTGTGGATGCAAATATGTGTCGATAATTTGGACGGGTGGTACTTCTGAATTCAGGTAACGGAGCAGAGGCACCAGGCCTACGAGCTCTATGGGGATGGGTTGCGCAAGTCGATGTTTCAAGCATTCCCAGTGAGAATGGTGCGGAAGAAAGATGGAAAGGCTTCAGGGCTTAGGCGTCCGCCGTCCATCAATACAGCCTGATGGAAAACCGGACCTGCAGAGCTTGTGCAGAGCCACATTTCGACCGTCCGAGTACTGGTCTTGTCGTTCAAAGGGAATATTAATGAATTATTCCAGATCGGATATCTGTATGGCCCTCCAAAGCTCAGGCCAGTTTGGTTCGTTGAATCAAGGCACCTGATAATCCCATATTACAGGTTCTAGTACTGCTTACTAGTAGAGGTGCCATCTACGTGAGATGTCACTTCTTCTAGAAGGGGTCATTTAGGGCTCCACGCAAAAAGCTATGGAATACCTTGCAATAAATAAACACAATACCATGTAATAGAGAGCTTGCGCAAAAGCCGCACAAGCCGCATGCGGCTTTTGTGCATTGCGCAAAGCCGCGGGTTTTTCTTCACTGTTCTTAATTCTTGTCTTGCTAAATATCATTCAATGCCCCTTAAATCTCATATTCCACTCTTGAGAGTGCTATTTGTTGGATGTGCAACTGTGGGAAGCCGCATTTTCCACGCATCACCAAGGTATCATTCAAGTTCCACTTCCCTTTCCCACACTCTCACGTCTTCTGCGCACCGGAGACAATGCTGAGGATGTTCCCTCTCCCCACAGCACCTCTCCTTCGCCTCAGGTAAGCTTACATTGAAATAGTTGAGTGACACCTCTCACATTTCAGAATTTGCCATGCAGCTCTGCGCAATGCAAAAAAGCCGCATGCGGCTCGTGCAAGCTCTCTAATAGCTAACTATTTTTTTTTTCTCAACTTCGACTTTTTTTGGTTCGAACAGAAATGGTTCGAACCGCTCTTACATAAAATTCGGGCTATCACTGTTATCTTATCTGAGGTTATATTCTATCGTGTTCCAGACGTTGCAAAAATCAAAACCGAGCAAAAAACTTTGAGTTCGGAAAACTTGTTTTTTCCAAATCTCAGAATATCCCTATATTAAATCTGTACATAATATGTACATGTAGTATGCCCCTTCCCAAAGGACCAGGGCCAAATCTGCGCAGAACATGTGTGGAATGGCAATTGATGATAGCATTGATGCGATCAATTGAAGCCGAAGCTGTGCCGAGAGTTCCTACCCTCAGTTGACCTCTAAAGATTCAGTAGTGAGGTTTTAATGAGGTTGTAATGATATATAAATGGGGGAAATATAGATACACATAGAGGATGCACTCTGATG